TCTCTCCTCTCCTTCCCATTTCTGATTGATCCCGACCCAAGCACTGCTCCTTCCTTCCGTTCTACTGTTTATTTCCCATGTTCCAGGTTTTATTTTATGTTCCTGTTTTTGTAACCATGCTCTTCCTTCGATCCCTCCAACTTCCATACGTCAGACCTAGTTGTCAGAGAACTAGATAGAAGGATAACAGAAGGGGGGCGAGACTCCTTGCATGGTACATAAATTATATGTAGTCGATCATGTCTGGAGTACGAAAAGGGGTAAGCGATAGGTTGATTATTGATTGCAATGCGACGTAAATTAGTCATAATTATTAATGAACTTAAAGAAACTTAACGTAAAAAAACTCTTTTTGTTTGTTTTTGTTTATTTATCATATTTTTTTAGGGTTTTTAGGCTTTATATATTTTTTATGGATTTTAATATTTTGACAAACTAGGGTGGCTAAAGAAAACAAGGTAAAATTTTTAGTTGATTTTATGATTTATTAATATTATTTATTTTATGGTTTTATAAAGTAACATTGTAACTTAAACAAAGAATTAAGTGAAATTATTTTTTACTGGATTTGATTTTATTGTTTTAAGTTATTTTAATGATTTTACAAAGTAATAGTAAAATAGTGACTACTTCTACTTAAATGGAACAACAAAGATATTTTATATGTTTATTATTTCATGTTTTTTTTCACATATATTGATTTTATTGTCTGCTGTTAACAAACACAAACAGGTCAAAGAGAGATGGGGAGTTCCAGGGCAGATCGTGATGGGGAAAGATGATGAAGGAAATAAACCAAATAGAGAAAGAGGGATGTGATGAGACGAGTTGAAATGGGTGAGTGATAAAATATGATAGAGAATTAAGCGGTTATAATAATAAAAATTCGGGGGGAGTGAATTCTCTGACAACTAGGTCTGACGTATGGAAGTTGGAGGGATCGAAGGAAGAGCATGGTTACAAAAACAGGAACATAAGATAAAACCTGGAACATGGGAAATAAACAGTAGAACGGAAGGAAGGAGTAGTGCTTGGGTCGGGATCAATCAGAAATGGGAAGGAGAGGAGAGAGGCAAAGGAAGATAAGGAGATAAGGAGAGGGAGAATAAGGAAGGTTGTGTGTCATTGAGCCCATGGCTGTTTATGAGTAGGATGTGTGGGTCGTGTTTTCTGTGTGTTGCAGAGTTCATTTTTACGTGTTGGTGTCCAGTGTAGTACGTTGTGTTGAATGATTGTGAGTCGTGAGTGTAGTGTCTGGTGTGCCATCTGTATTTGTGGTGTTTAACAATAAAAAAAAAACGTTGCTCAGTTGGACAGGGTTATCACATTGTTCAATCACGTCGTTGTTTTAAGCTCTCCTTTCGAAAGTAACCACTTAATTCTCTTATTTTGGATTTCTTGGTCAATTCAAAACGGTCTGAGTACTGGTATTTTGAGGGGTTCTAATTCCATGGACCTTGGGAGGACGGAAGTGTATTGTTGACACATTAGCATTGCGAGATAAGGGAACACAGACTCACCTGGTAATTGAAAAAGAGTTGATTTTAGCGTAATTCTTCAAGTTTGAATATTTTTATTGCATCCGTAAATCTATTGCTTTGGCGGAGGTATGCGCTCTCCGAGAGCTTTTAGTTCTAAATATCTTCACTTAACAAAATTATGCCTTTCCTAGGTAATTGTGTCATTTGGAATGTTGGTGGACGAACGATTGAACAGAATTCAACGTGCAATACATATATAGTATATATATATATATAATATATGATATAACATTTACATAATGGGAACCGTCTCTCTATAACACTAATATGTATATATTAAATATAAATATATGATATATATATATATATACATAAATACATATGGACCCTCTCTCTATATATATAATATAATTAGTATATAATAAAGTATATATATATACTATATATATACCATATATTATATATATAATATATACATATATAATATGATATATATATATATATATATATATATATATATATATATATATATATATATATACATATATATATATATATATATATATATATATATAATATATATATATATATATATATATATATATATATTAGTAATATGTAAGTAAAGTAATATTTATATATATATATATATAATATATATATTATAATTATATTATATATATATAATATATATATATATATATATATATATATATATATATATATATATATATATATATTAATATTATATTATATGATATATAATATAACTATAGTACATAAATATGGATACCTCTCCTCTCTTCACTCGGTCTCGTCGTCGTCTGTCTCTCGTCTTCCTCTTCTCCAAATCGAAGGATTCGCCCCCCAGTGAGTAGATCGCCGTCACTTCTCGTCCATTCTCTCTCTCCTCTCTCCTCCCTTCATCTTCTCTCTCTCTTCTCTTCGTGCTATATATAGTATACTATTATGTATATATATATAATGTTATAATATAAATATCATATATCTATATATTA